ATATAGTATCATTTAACTCACAGTCACTTAAAACATGTTTCAGAGTAATTATTTTCTTCACCAATAATCTTTTCTACAGTGAAGTGATTTTTTTAAACCATGTTTAATGAAAATCCACATTAAAAGTGTCCATAATAATAATAATAATAATAATAACAATAATATTAAAAGTAATAATAATGTTTTATAGTTTAATATGTACAGAGAGTTAAATAATGAGAAGTTGTGGCAGTTTTTGTTGTTTTTATTTTTTATGTTGTCGTGCGCGCTCGGTGAGGGTTGCGTGAGCAGATCTTTATAAAGCGCGGGGGGCGGGGTTAGCTCAGGGAGGCGGGCCCGCGGCTCCCTTTGATCTAGAGGCGGCTGGCTCTTTCATCTCCAGCCCCCCTCCCTCCTCCTCCCTCTCTCCCCCATTTCTTCTTTGTATGACTAAATTTGGTCGGAGCGTGGAGCCGAGCCAGCGCTTACACGCGTGCGTTCATCCCAGCTGAGAAAGAGAGAAAGAGGGGAGAAACGGTGGTGGTGGGGGAGGGGGGGTTCTTCCGGGTGAGGAGAGGGGGTGTGGGTTAGAGATCAAAGACTTTTGGGTTTTGGAAGCGGCGTGGATTCAAAAAGGCCGAGACTGGCTGCATTCCAGACTAGAGCGGAAAGCGCGTGCTCCTCCACTCACATAAACCAGGCACGAGCACTCGCACGCACGCGGCCGAACACACGCGTGTAAATTTGAGAGAGAGAGAATTAGATTTCACACAAAACAAGCAAAGCTTTGGTTTGAGAGGGTTTTTCTGTTTCTGCTCAAAACTGTGATAAAAGTAAAAAGTGTCAAACCTGCAGCTCTGCCTCATTTACACTCATTTCATTATCCTGCACCTTCTAAAGGAGGCCCACTCACCCCCAAACCACCCCCACAGGAGCAAACCTCCTTCTCCTCCTCCTCCTCCTCCTCCTTCTTCTTCTTGTTCTTGCTCATGTTCTCCAGCATGAAGGTAATAAATCATAAGAAAGTCAAATGTGTAAAGAGGTTTTGCAGCTTGGGGCCTGTAAGGGCAGGAGGGGCCTGCTGGGCCTGAGCTGTGAGTCAGACCCCCATCATCATCATCATCATCATCATCATCATCATCAAATTAATTGTTTTGTTGTTGTTGGTAATTTGTTTGTAATTTATTCATTAAATATGAGCGCGAGACTCTAACAGTGAAAAGCACCAGATCAGATGAATTGTCTGAAGTGAATTCCATTTTTAAATCACGCAGCTTCAACATTTATCAATTACTATAAATCAATGAAATATTGATCTTATTAAAAATTATATGACACTATACTGTTGTAGCTGAAGAAAATAATAATAATAATAATAAATAATAAAATACAACCACTTCCTAAGAACACGTCAAAATCTCTAAAGATTCTTGTTTTCCTGTTTATTTATTTAAAGTGATATGGAAGTCATAAATAAATAAATAAATAAATAAATAAATAAATAAATAAATAAATAAATAAATAAGCGTGCGTGACGAGAGGACAGCAACATTTCAGATACAGACGTTCTTTTTATTAACGGCACAAAGTGAAGGTCACTGGGAACACTGGACTGTTTATGACTGTTGGTGGAACAAATCTTTTTGTTGAAATGCGTGAAAAGAACAAGAACAAACTTCTTGGAGCTCCGCGTACAAACCAACATTTTAACGAGTCGCAACATTTTGGACTTTCCTCGTCTGAACTTCATCATTTTACTGTTTTATACAATTAAAGTTTCAGTGGTGCCGTCACACTGTTCCAGTTAATGTCACAAAACTTTAAAATATCTGAAGATTTCAAAGAAACTTTTCTTTCCTGTCAGAACTGTTGTCTCCTCAGCGTGTCCATCACGGCTGAAGGTTTTCTCTCAGGAGAGCAGAGAGCGCAGCGTCCTCCACCCTCACATCGTCTTCTTCCTCTCTGGGATCACCAGGGCCCATGTGCAGGAGGTGGGGGACACCTGGACAGGTCTCCAGTCCATCACAGGGACACCTGGACAGGTCTCCCGTCCATCACAGGGACATCTAGGGACAGTTTAGAGTTACCAGTCACCTGTATAAATAAAGGTTGATTGATAACATGCATGTTTTTGGTCTGTGGGGGGAAACCCACGCAGCACGAAGAAACATTCAACCTTGCCCAGGATTTGATCCAGCAACCTTGTCCCTGAGAGGCGACAGCTCTGCGCACTGAGCCACTGTGCCGCTCACCATCATAACTACCGAACACTTTGTCTCTCCACCTCGTACGTTCAAGCGTCACAGCTCCGGCTTTAAATAAAAACAGTAAAGAAGTCGCAGTAGAGAAAAGAGAGAAATATAAAAAGTAAATTAGCATTTTCCTTGTTCTAATGAGTTCGTACGAGCGATTCCTCTGGATCTCACATGAAAAGGAAGATTTCCTGCTGAGCTGTGACCTGAATTCACTCCTCTGACTTCAGAGACGCCATCTTGCTACATGAAATGATCTATAGAGCATCAGATTTGAAAGGTGCACCTTCAGATGGTTTCTGGTCTAAGTGTTGATGGAGGACTTGGTCTGAACATCATCATCCAGACAACGTGGTCTCCGTCCAACACTCAGTCCACGTCCTCATTGTCTCATCTGCTCTGCTTTAATTAACGGCACCAGTGTCTCGTCTGTTTGTCTGAGTTTCTGTGTTTGCTCGTGCGCTTCAGTGAACGTTCAAATGATTCGTGCGCTTCAGTCGTTCATGAAAAGTGTCTTCTTGAAGTAGAAATTACAGCCATGGTGCGCTCGCAGCCACCTCCAGCAACCGACAGGAAACAAACGTTAAATTAGGATGAAAAGAGCTGCAATTAAAGCGAGGCAGACACATTTATCACTTGAAGGCTGGGGGGGTCCGAGGCCGCTGATTGTTGCTGTCGCTCTTTGATTGATCGAAGATGAGTCACTTTCTTTACCGTGTCTGGGGGGGGGTCAGGTGGAGGAAGACGGGGCAGACCTGTGATCTGATGATTTATGGAGGAGCTCCGGGGCAGCTGTTTCAGACAAACTGTCATTAAAATAAAATCATCTCCTTCATGGAAAACCAGGGGAATTTGTCAAACTCTGAAAGTGGAACGTGACATTTTGTAAAAATAAATAAAGGAATAACATTTAGGATCACTTTGTAAAACCATTTTAATGGAAGAAAAAAGCATGTTGATGGTTTAAATCCACGCTGCTGAGCGTAACGTTCGTTTGAACAACTTCCTGGACAAGTTTTGGATTTTCCAGAGCAGATTAAAAAACGTGGCGTGTTCACACGGTGACGCTGTCACGGTTCAGCCGAGGAAGCAGCTGAACCTGCCGCGGGTCACGAGGTGCTGTGGCCATTTTAGACTCTTTAACTCAGCACCCCTGAAAATAAAGAAAACGTCACTAGGGTTGTGAAAGGAAGCTCAGTTCTTGAGCGTGGATTCACCAAAATATGAAATAAATATAGAATAAAATAGAATAAGTGATGACGGTCTTAAACGGGACAGGACTCTTGCTGTTTTGCACGAGTCGGATCCTCGAGGCCACCTGTCAATCAGCAGCTGACCAATCAGTGACCTCAGTTTGTCCTAAAGGTAAACGCCCCTTACCTGCAGGAGCTCCACCCCTTTTTCTCTTACAACATGTCGGGGTTTTGCTTTACGAACACTTTGCCGTCAGAGGAATTTAGTGAAAAATCATCAATAAAAAATGTTTGATCCATGTCCGAGAAGAACACGTAGTTCAGACAGAGTTACCCTGCGAGTTCACAAAACAGTTGATTATATTTCAATTATTATTATATTTTATATTTCACAGAATCTGGAAACATGTAAAACATGATAAAGGCCTGCGTCCGACCTCATGATCAGCTGATTACAACAGTGATCATCTCTTTGGAGCTTTTTTGGGGGGAGGAGGAGGAGACACCTCTGTGTTGTGCGCTGCTAGCTCAGCACTATGTTAGTGCAGACAGTTGTTGGCCGGGGGGGGGGGGGCTGTACGTCCGTTAAACCTTAGCTAGCGTGTCTGTGTTGCGCATCGCTAGCTTAGTGCTTTAACAATCCATTAAAATACACCAGAATGCAGGAAATGACATCTACTCTATTCAAAATTTTCTGGGGACCCCCCCAACAGTATGTTCCCCCACCCTGTTACAAATGCTTTTGACGCTTCAAGCCAAGAGCCATTGTCAGCACTGGGGGCTGAGCCCCCTAAAGGTCCGATCCTAGACTCGCCCCTGGCTGTGGTCGTTATCTCTGTTCAGCCAAGAGAAATAATTAGAACCTGCTGTAGTTTTTATGCCACGTCAGTAGGTGGCGCTGTGATTTTTGTGTTTGAACAACTCTTGAATCTGGAGCGTGAGATTAGATTACACCTAAAATGATGAAAACACAAATGTTGGTTTGAAGCGACGCTGAGGTCAGTGTGCTGCAGCCCAACGATGCCGGGAGTTTCAGACACTTCAGCTCCGAGACCTGGATCGTAAAAGTTTTGGTGTCAGAGAATTCAGTCTCTGTTTTTACGTAGACCAACGGCCAAAACGCAAAAGAGTTGTTAGAGTTTAATTAAAAACAGCTGATTGGAAACTGGGCCTAGAAAATAAAATGTTAGATTTACTTTGTACATAGTTCTGTCAGCCAGATCCACAACTCTTAGTTTTTTAAATGTAAAATAATTACAATTAAAATCGTTGTTCTTACCAATGTGTTCATGGAGGACAATCAATAAAAAATGTGAATCAAAATAAATAACAGTTAATATAAACTAGCCCCCCGTCCCCCCGTCAGCTCATCAGTATTATCAGAAGTAAACTCCTTTTTTTTCAAACTGAGGACATTTAAAGAGCTATCTACAACAGGTAAGATATTGAGCATTCAAAAACTCTCCACAGAACCCCATTTCAAAATGTTTGGACTATTCCTTTAAGGGTCAGACCATAATCTGATTAATATTACTGTTTACTGATTATTGATGCTTATATCATACAAACCACCTGTTGTGTATTTGTCAGAATGTAAACCATTCAACAAATCAATCGAACGTGCACACGGTTTCCATTAAACATATTGATCTGGAGGTTCTCGTCTCATAAATAAATTCTGGATCTTTTGCCCAAACTTCTTAAAGTGGAGCGTTGTTGCTGGTATTATGGCACAATTATAAAAAGACCTCAGACAGAACATGGTGCTCAGAAAAACCAACGCAGGATCACAAGTTTTATTTGAAAATGTTATTATAAGTGTAAACCTTCTTGTTGTCAGCGTTCCAGCGTTCTTTCTTTCAAACGGATCAGAAGTCCCTGGCAGCAGATATCTGCTTGCTCATCACATCTTCATCTTCCAGCCGTCGTCTTATCGGTTTGCAGAGATGACAGAAAATTGCAGCGTGATTTCCAGTAATTGGCAGTTTCTTATCAGTCCGCCTGTTTTTAAGAAGATATAAACACGGCACGTCCAATTTCCACGAGTCGTGCTGCAGACATGGAACATGAGCAGAAGATCTGAAGCTGCTTCAACTGTGAGGCTGTCCAGGTGGCTTTGACTCCTCTGACTGGTTTTGTCTGGATCATTCCTCCACACGTCCCACTCACTGTTTGACCTCTTACTGGTTTATTAACCAAGATAAAACAATTATTCCAGTGGCACCTGATGACAACTGGATGGCTGGAGGAGAAGCGCTCAGCTCGAGATCACCTTTCCCTAAGCTGCAAGCTTCATTGCCAGACAATATTGGACAAACGTGCACAGAGCACCTCCAAACGTGCACAGAGATGCTCAGGGGTTTCACCTCCATGCAGCCAAAATAAAAACTCCCCGAGGTGTTTAACTTTATTCTCTGTGCGTACGTGCATCAGTCCAACTCACTCTGGCTGACCCTGAAGGGAAACTGTCAGCTGTTGATGTAAAACTTCACTCAGCTCAGACGCTGCAGCTTCAGCTCACACCTGCGCAGCTTCAGCTCACACCTGCGCAGCTTGGTGACATTTCTGTTGGTGCTTTCCAGAAGGACATGGTCACGTGTTATGAGGACGTGTCTGATCGCAATTAAAATATCTCTATTTCAATTCAGGTTATTTCTGCAGCTCCAACAGACGTCGTCTCAGGGCCCAAAAACATTCTCACACTTTATAAAAGACAATTATTAAAGTTCTGTATCTGAGGAGGCAGCAGGTTGTGTTGAATCTTCTCAGTCTCTCATCCTGAACAAGAACAGAGGAGACAGTGGGAAGAAAGAACTCCCTTTAACAGGAAGAAACTTCCAGAAGAACCAGGCTCAGGACGAGTGACCAGCTGCTTCAACTGACTGGGTTTGACCAGGCTCTGCAGGGTCTACATGTGTCCAGTGGCCCAGCAGACCTCACCAGCAGCTGTCCTTCTGCTGCGTTCAGCTACATTCTTCATCTCCAAAGAGGAAGTGGCCTCATCCTCTGAGCCACTGTGCTCATTACGCTGTGTTGTTGGAGAAAGCTCTGGGTGCTCTGGTACCTGTCTCCTGTGGTACCTCTGGTTGTTCTCGTACCTCTGGTTGTTCTCGTACCTCTGGTTGTTCTCGTACCTCTGGTTGTTCTCGTACCTCTGGCTCCTCTGGTTGTTATCGTACCTCTGGTTGTTCTCGTACCTCTGGCTCCTCTGGTACCTCTGGTTGCTCTCATACCTCTAATACCTCTGGTTGCTCTCGTACCTCTGGTTGCTCTCATCCCTCTGATACCTATGGTTACTTTCATACCTCTGATACCTCTAGTTGC